CTGCAGCAGCTCCGACAGCTGCAGCACCTGGGAACGGATGGGGAATGGGGACGGAACAGGGAAAGGAAATGTGGAGGGGGAACACGGAAAGAAAACATTGAGGGGGAACATGGAAAGAAAATATGGAGGGGAATATGGAGGGGGAACATGGAAACAGAACATGGAGGGAACAGGGAAAGAAAATATGGAGGGGGAACATGGAGGGGGAACATGGAAACAGAACATGGAAACAGAACATGGAGGAAACGGGGAAAGAAAATATGGAGGGCAACATGGAAAGAAAATATGGAGGGGGGACATGTAAACAGAACATGGAAACAGAACATGGAGAGAACATGGAAAGAAAGTATGGAGGGGGAACATGGAAACAGAATATGGATGGAACATGGAAAGAAAATATGGAGGGGGAACATGGAGGGAACATGGAGAGGGGACGCGGAGGAACAGGGAAAGAAAATATGGAGGGGGAAGATGGAGGGAACGTGGAGAGGGAATGCGGAGGAACAGGGAAAGAAAATATGGAGGGGGAGCATGGAGGGAGGACATGGAGAGGGAATGTGGAGGGGAACGTGGAGAGGGAACGTGGAGGGAACATGGAGAGAAAATATGGAGGGGGACACAGAGGGGAAACATGGAGGGAACGTGGAGGGGGAACATGGAAAGAACATGGAAAGAATGTGGAGGGGGAACATAGAGGGGGAACATGGAGAGAATGTGGATGGAACATGGAGGGGGAACACGGATGGGGAACATGGAGAAAACGTGGAGGGAGAACGTGGAGGGGGAACACGGAACAGGGAAGGAAAATACGGAGGGGGAACATGGAGGGAGGACATGGAGGGAAAATATGGAGGGGGAACATGGAAGGGGAACACGGAGGGGGAACACGGAGAGAAAATATGGAGGGGGAACATGGAGGGGGAACTCAGGAAACACGGAAAGAAAATATGGAGAGGAAACATTGAGAGTGAACGTGGAGGGAGAACATGGAGGGAGAACACAGAGGGAGTATGGAGAGAAAATATGGACGGGGAACATGGAGGGGGAACATGGAGGTGTTCCCATGGAGAAAACATGGAAAAACCAGGGAGGGAACACAGAGGGAACATGGAGAGAACACGGAGAGACCATGGAGGAGGAAGAAAGAGGTGCCAGGAGCACCCCACAGCCCCAGCCTTGGGGGCAGCCATCACCCACATGCCCTCCCACCTTCACTGACGCCCACCTCCAGGTCCCAAAACCGCCTCTTTTCCCCCCAGAACGCCGCAGGGCTCCCCACCTGGGGCAGGCGGCGGTCGGAGNCACCTTCACTGACGCCCACCTCCAGGTCCCAAAACCGCCTCTTTTCCCCCCAGAACGCCGCAGGGCTCCCCACCTGGGGCAGGCGGCGGTCGGAGCCGCGCAGCCGGGCCAGGCAGCGCGTCAGGAACTGCCGCACCTGGGCGCGCTCGGGGCCGCCCAGCAGCTCCAGCGAGCCCAGCGCCGCCGCCTGCTCCTCGCAGCGGCCCCGCGAGAAGGTGAAGGCGACGGCGGGCAGCAGCTCCCGCTCCCGGAGGGTCTCCAGCAGCGACAGCCAGACCCCCCGCTCCTGGGGGCATGAAATGGGGTGAGAGGGACCCCTGGGAGAGCACCCGGCCCCTCGGAGACCCCCGGAGTCAGCGGGACCCCTGGGAGAGCACCCGGCCCCTCGGAGACCCCCGGGGCAGCACCCGGCCCCTCGGAGACCCCCGGGGTCAGCGGGACCCCCGGGGCAGCACCCAGTCCCTCTGCATCTCCCCAGGACCCCTGAGGCAGCACCCGGCCTCTCGGAGACCCCCGGGGCAGCACCCGGCCCCTCTGCATCTCTCCAGGACCCCCGGGGCAGCACCCGGCCCCTCGGAGACCCCCAGGGTCAGCGGGACCCCCGGGGCAGCACCCAGTCCCTCTGCATCTCCCCAGGACCCCCGGGGCAGCCAGAACAGCCCCCAGCCCCTCTGGATCTCCCCGGGACCCCCAGAACAGCCCCCAGCCCCTCGGGGACCCCCAGAACAGCCCCCAGCCCCTCTGGATCTCCCAGGGACCCCCAGACCAGCCCCCAGCCCCCAGCCTGCCGTGCCTGGCCGGGGTTGGGGCCGCCCATGGTGGGCTGCCGCGCCCCGAAGCTCTGCGCGTGTTTGCTGCTCTGCTCCTTCTTGGCCTCCACGGCCGCGTAGTACCTGGGGCAGG